AAGCGATTTGAAACTCGATTTGCTTGATGCGCTGTGCGACAAGCTCCCGAATCGGAAGACGATGCGGCTCAGGTTGATCAAGCACTTTCCGCGGCATTGCAGGTGCTCCAAACCTCATTTTCGGCGTGGGCACGGCTTCCCAGCTAGTGCTCGTGTCTGTAGCACGAGGGCTTCGGCATGAACCGAGCTGAGAAGAGGTCGCTGGACTAGTGGTCTTTGAACCTTTGCTGGAGGATGACTTTGCTTCGTCCATTTCTTTTAACAGCTTTGCTCGATCTTTTGGACCGAGCGTTTTCCAATAATCCGATGGAATGTCCTTTGGGCGTTTGCTGCCTTTGTACGTCTTCACCACACGAAGACCATCCCAATGGTAACCTTCAGGAATAGGGACCCCGGCCGGCGTAGTGTCGGGCTTGTAGTCCTCGGCTTTGTCAGCTGCCGTGACTTCGATTTCGGGTTCCTCGCCCCCCTGTTCAAGTACACCTTCTGGAGCTTCGGATGGTGTGTACTCTGCAAGGTCAGCATCCGCAAGTGGAATCGGATTGGGAGACTCGATGAGGTTGAGCTTTGGGTCATCAGGGATAGCTTCCTTACGATCTTGTTTGACACGCAATGGAAAACTGAAACCACCTGGAAGGAGCTCAATTTTCTTTGTCCTCTGGGTCGTCAAACTGTTGTGTTCAACATGGTAGTCTAGTGCTTCCAACTTAGCAACTAGATACTCCCCACGCCACTTGTGTCCCGGCTGCACATGGTAACCAAGAAACACGCCTTCCACCGATGTGGGCGACAGCTTTCCTGCTGTATTGTCGGCTCGATTGGGGTTGTTCCAGAACAGGACTTTCGCACCAAACGGAATGGCCATGCCTTCAAACATTTCTCCAAAACGCAGTTCCCATGGGCTTGGAGATGAATCCAGCTGATCACTCGTGTTTGTTGCCATTGCAAAATGTTGAATGGCGAGTGGCCAGTACTGGAGGGGCATTCCGGACTGAACGAGATTGGTGCGTGCTCCCTCAAGCATATTCCTAACTTCCCTTTCAATGAAGCTCTTGGAGGAGTCAACGTATTCAACGGAGGTTTGGTGGCGATACCCTAACTCCTTGATACCAGCTATCAACTCACGGGAGTTGTCGGTGTAAATGACCTCAACTGCATCATCCGGGGCAACAAAATGCTGAAGAGCAACCACTACCTCATCCGAACTTTTGGACTGAGCTGGGTAAATACTCCGGAACTTTGTATGCAGGTCTTTCACAACCAAAGCTACCCGTTCACCACGATTCCCTTCTTCGATGTTTGCTCGCACGACGACGTGATCGGCGATCAGATGATCACCAAAGGCCTTAGTCTGAATGCGGCTTTCACCCCCTTTCTTTCGTGCCTGTGGTGCAAGCATCCTTGCTCGCTGACACACTTTGCAGAATGGGTTCTTGGGAAAGTGGTGATACTGGTGTTTTGCGGACTGTGCCTCACGCATCAAGTCTCCAACCTTTCGTGATCGCACCAAACGGCTTTCTTCATCGTCTGGCACTTCTTCGTCGATGCCTTCGTCCTCTTTCTTGTCCGATGGGCTCGAGATTGCTCCCGGCATTGCAAACAGCTTCTTCAGAGGCTTATCCTTCTTGAACTTGCCCTTTCCAAAAGACTTTGCACTCGGAGTCGAGGACTGGGACATGACCATCAACACGAAGTTGAACGATTTTCTCATCTGGTCGCACCAGGATCGGAGTACCGTTTGCCGGCCACACAAAACTATACCCTTGGTCAAGGCATTTAATGCCAACTGAGAGCACAGCAGGGCATTCGTCCAGCAAATACGGCGTGCAAGGCTCCAGTAGCTGCTTCATCTGGACGTCAGCTACCTCACTGGCTTCGGTCGATCCGTTTGCAGTGATCAAACTGATGGTGTGAGGAGCCCGTCTTGGGTTCTTCGCACCAGCAGCGTCCATGACTTTCCTGCTGAGGAGGTCTTGCTCACTCCCTGAATCGACAAGCCATGACAACCTCCCTTCCCTTGGTGCTGGACTGGCAACGATAGTCGGGATGGTGGTAGGACATGTTTTCAACTTGATCAAGCTTCGACACTCACGACAAGTAAGCGACGATTCGGTGCACAGAAAACGACATGAGGGCACGGTTGCACGATCAAAGCTTCGAACAACTTCAGCCAACTGCCTAGCTTTTACTTTGGCCATGTGGGCTGCCTTTGGGTCGCTCTTGGGCACGCGATCGCTCGTGGCAAAATGCACGCTATACTTGCGCGGACGCTTGGCCATCTTGCAATGTTCCCCGCGAGCAGGGATTGTACGAATCTCGGGTTTCATAACAAATGTAGTCCTTCGGACAGACGACTTGGACCTTTTCCTCGCTGGAGGAAGACAGGACTTCTTGAGACATGACCGTCCGGGCACACCAGTTGCAAGACATGCAAACCGATTGCTCAGGCAAATGGCAGCTTTCTTAGTATCCCCTTTTGCCTTTGGCTTTGGGGAGTCCTTTCTTGGCTTCGTTTTCGGAGCCGGTGCTGCCTTTTCTCCATGTTTGAAAAAGCACTTGTCTCCTCTTCTGCATGTACCTTGTTGATCGTACCTGCATGGGGTCTTTGCCATCTCCTCCTTAGTCATTCGCTTCTTTTCCTTATCTGTGCTTTTGTCCCTCGACTCGTTCCGCTCCCGGGATGGTTGGCGCTTCTTGGAAGGATCGCGCTTGGGCTTTTCATGCTTAAACTTGCAATCCTTCCCTTTTGCACACTTTCCCTCCAAAAAGGCCCAACAAATGCCCTTCTCCCGAGAAGTCGATCGTCCGCGCGATGGCGAACGCTTCCGCCGAGGATCAACAGTAGGGGCTGCGTTCTTCTCATGTCGATCACCTGGCTTGAGCCGGTTTCGCTCAGCGATACGTGACCGATTCTCGCGAAGGCGTTCCCGATCTATCAGGTCCTTGATACTTTGCAGTAGGAACTTGTAAGACCGATGATGGTCACCTTCTTTTGCACGATCAAAAAGATCGATGTCATACCTCAGGATGGTGCTTGTGCGGATCTGCCTCAATAGGATGTCTCGAAGCACGTTTTCGTGCGGTGGTTCGGGCATACCGGCGATGGTAGCGTCCCAGCGGTTGATAAAACGCTTCAAGTCCGCTACAGTATCGCCTACCTTCACCACATTGAGGAGATCTTCAACCCTGTAGAGGCTACCCGCTTCTTCCGAGGTCTTGAAATAGTCATCAAACATGAGAAGAATCATCCTTCCTCGAACCTGGATGCCTAGTTTTGCCTTCTCTTCTTTGTAATTGATGATTCGGTTTGCTAGATCACCCTTTGCACTTCTGGTCAGTGCAGCTGCCAACTTGGTATCCAACGTTGTGAACTTCCCAGGGTTAGACAACCGCTCTTCCAGAACTTTTCTCTCATCAACAGTGTTGTAAACCTCCATTAACCAGTCCCAGGCCGCATCTGGTTTGTCAGAACATGACTTGATTTTGTCCCTCACATGATGTTTCCATTGCCGATAAGTTTCAGGGGTTGGCGTGTCATTCAACTTGATATGATCTGCCTCCTTTACCTTTGGCTTCTCATCTGACTCTCTTTGAGTGAGTGACTTGACCAGTTCAATCACCTGCTCGGAGGTGATAGCACCTGACGACGCTGGCTTATGGGGTTCGCGAATTGAGGGTGCAGGGCTATGGAACAGATTTGTCGGTGTTTTGCCCCCATCTGCTGCGGTGCCTCCGTGAACTGGAAGCACTGGCTTGATAGGAGCAGCTGCCCCTAGTGGGGCATCACCGATGATGGTGGCCGTTGGCGCTTTAGGTGCGAACAGTCCACTCAAACGTGCAGTAGCCTCTGCTGCAATGGTCTCCAGAGGATTTCTCCTCTTCGTGTCATCGTGTCTGGGTGTAGACACTGGTGTGTTCATGACACTTGTTGGATGGTACTCTAGCTCGGGTCCAGCATGCATTTTGGCTTTGAGGTCATCGAGCATTTGCTGCAGACTATAGTTTTCGTTTTCTGCGTCGCGTAGCTCACGTCGAAGCTGAGTTTCTCGCTCATCGAACTCTGCACGAAGCGTTGCCACACCTTGCTCGGCACCACTGGTGATGGCAGCGACAGTTTGCTGACAATCGTGCATGAGCTGAATGCGCAAGGAGTCCAGTTCTGCTTTTCTGGCTTCAGCCTCAATGGACCTCTCGCTCTCTAGCTTAAGGATTCGCGCTTTTGCAGCACTTAGTTCCCCTTGTACTTGGTTGTAGCTAGACTGAGCTTGTTGCTTTACCGAACTGAGTTCCTCATGATGCTTGCTCGCTACTTCATCGATTGCTTGACGAAACTTGGTTTTCACCATGTTCAGCCATTGTCCCATTATTTCTTTGTGCCTTCTCTCTGCCTCAGCAATAATAGCGTCTTCATTTCCGTTGTACACCTGTTGGATATTTTGCTGCACAAACTGAAAGTAAGCTGTGACAGGAGCTGAACCCATGGGGTCATCTAGATCCACCGTGGGCTCAGTCATGAGACCGGCTGGGACTGCTACCGATGATGTACCGTTCCCAGGAATAGCAAGAGCGTCCATGGCTGTGGTTAGAGCACTACGGCTGATAACCTATAGAAACAGCCGTTAAGCTGCAACTCCTGTTTTGGGCCGCGAGCTGCAAAGGTGAAGTCAACATGACATCCTACTATGTGCAAGGTACAAAGTGTACATATTACATGGAGTGAAAATACAAAATGGGCTAGAAGGTTTTCTGACAAGTGTTTGTTATCGTAATTATTGCAGGCCTTGAGGTGGACCAAACTAATAGGAGGGGTATGTGAATCACCCGGTGTTATATTATCGGAGAAACATTGAAACCTTGGCTATTCCCTTTGTCCTGCACCTGTCTTGCACCTGTAGACATTCGGCAGCAATCAGTTTTTCTAGACTGATTGTATGGAACATTGGGGTGATGATCGACATCATCCATCATGCCTCTCTCTTGGACTGTGCCCCTGCCGCTGCCTTGCATCCAGATTGGCCTCCTTCACTCCTCGCCACAGAGCCTCCAAACATGCAAACTCATACACATCCAATGACGAAGCTGCGGAACTTGAGAGCTCTTTGTCTCCCATGATGACCGTTCAGTGTGTCAAAATTCCTGGGCTTCCCAAAACGTACAATGCTGCATATGCTTGCCATGCCCTACACATCTTGAGAGCTCCTGAGCTTGGTCCCGTTTCGCTGACCTCCTCGAACTTCTCGTCCTTCTCTTCGTCTTTCTCTTCGTTCTTCTCCAGCCAGCGCCCGCTCCCGCGCAAAGTCCGGCGGAAGATAGCCAAGGCTGACACCTGCTGCGCCGGCTCCGTCGCTTTGGCCTCCTGAAGGCCTCGTGCAAGATGCAAGGGATGAAAGAAGTTAAGCTCCGAAGTTAGAAACAGTACGTTTTGCTGTCCGCTTCATAACGATTCATGTGCTTTATAGACACAAATAGCTTATGAACTCAGCGTCTCTGTCGTAGTTCGGCTTTGAAGGACACCTGGTGGTCTGACTGAAAACTTTGCCAAGCCTGGAATGACCCATGCGACAAGCTGACGTATGAGTGAAGCTTCTTTTCTCACTATATACCTCACAGATCACATGCATTCTTCTCAAGCCGTTCCCCACCCAGCAGATTGCATTCATCCAAGGCTCATGTACTCAGCCTGAAGCTCTTTGACCTCGTCTGAGCAGCTTCGCATTGCCTGATGAGTTGGCAAAAGGATCATTTACCCCAATCTCTACGTGGATTGCGAGCCTCTGTCTCCAAACCGCCAAACCAGCTGGTTACCGAAACGATGGTGTGTATGGAGAAAATTATCCGCTTGGTATTGAACATCAGTTTCATGGTTGCAAGCCCATACCTGCTTGTTTCCATCAGTACATACCAAAACACATATATATATATATACACATATATATGTGTATATATATATATATATATATCAATACAATTATATACAGTGTATATATTATAACTCCCATATAATATCGCTTCTAGGTTGGATGCCATCGCTAGTAGGTTGGAGGCCATCGCTTTTAGGTTGGAGGTCAACACTAGTAGGTTGAAGGCCATCGCTGGTAGGTTGGAGGCAATCGCTTTCTAGGTCAATTATATAACTCCTATATATATATATAAACAATATAATCGTCTTGTTCCCTGACCTCTAAAGCTGGCAAAGCTACAACCCGCCTGCTGTAGACTCCAGCTTCAAAGCCGTGGAGCTTGGTGAGCCTCAGGACTGGCAGATGTGACGAAGGCAAAGCATTGGCAGTTTTATTTCGGTAATAGTTAATAAGCAGCAAATCACACAGAAATCAAATTCAAAGGAGACCATAGGTTGACATTGCGTCAAGAACGGATTTGGAACTCAGAGCGGACCCCAGATCAGTTCTAGTTCAACATAGCGAGCACAAACTTGCCCCAAATTCACCCCAAATGAAACCTGATGCTCTTCCAGAAATAAACATCCAATTGCCCTTGCGACAACAACCTTACACAAAAACTCAATTCACCTCCAGACCCTTGAGTCTCCCCTTGATAAGAATATAGTCAAAGGAAAGGAAACCCGTCTGGTGCCCACCATCTAAGAAAAGAGAAACCTTTAGCCATGGAAGCTTTCGTGAGTCGGAGGTTTGCGGGCATACACACAACAGCCTCTATAAATAGTGTAGAACTGAGGCCTGTTAACACATAAACATCCAGCAACGAATCATGAAAACTAACTGTGCTCAGCTTTCACACTTAATCGCTGATGCACAAAGGCAATATCATGCAATATCTCTGCTGTGAATGGTCGTGGCTAGAGTAGCTACCCGGCAATCACTGTACAAGTTTGGGAGGGTACCCCTGCAGAATCATGCCAGTTTTAGACCGAAAGGAACCATGCGTACTCTCTTCTTTCTTTCTTTCTTTCTTTTCCTTTCTTTTCTTTTCGTTTCTTTTCTTTTCTTCCTTCCTTCCTTCCTTCTTTCTTTCCCTCTCTCTTTCTACTTTCTGTCCTTGTACCTGGCTTTCACGATCCAATCAGTGAGAAGGGTGTCGCTGTTCCCAGCCTTTTGTTTCTCCGCTGTCAGTTCTTGCAGGACTTGAATGAGGGCAGCAAACACAGTTGTCCAATCATTTGTGGTGCCAATGCTTGCCCACACCAGGATGACCAGGATTTGATCAGCTCTTTGCTGGTGTTGCGCACCAACAACATCAAGCAACTGTTCGCCATACTCCATGCTGAAGCTTTCGTCCACAGGATAACCCGCACGAACCGCCTGTGCCATTGCCTCACAAAGGCGCATGGCTAAAGTCCACCTTCCTACACCAAAACGTATAATCAAAAGCCACTCAACTTGGGAAGAAACCTCTCCTGAAAAGACATCCAACACACTCCCACCCGTGTGTTTCCGACACGTGGAAAAACTGCAAAAAGAGCACATTTTCATGAAAACTATCTATGTGTTTCTTCTGTGTGATCCATGAATATCTTCTAAATGACTCTTCTAGATCCTAGGATCAAACGTGGATCTGCCGATCTTCTTCGCAGCTCAGTGCATGAATTCGCCCCCATTTGTGATTCCGTCCTCGCCGGCTTTGGGAGATGGACGCATTCCACCAAACTAACCAGGATTTCCTTAATCTGATTGAGGTTGTATAGTCAGTCGGGTTTCCTCCCACACATTCGGACCTTCCGTCTCTCAACACAGGCTGGTGAGAGGTGCATCGTTTTTCATACTGCAGCTGCCTTGAGATGTTGAGCCAACACCAAAGACGACTTCACCATGGCGTTCAATGCCTCAGGTCGTGATAGGCTCACCTTATTAGAACTCAGGATAGGTGGTGAAATGGAGATGAATGAAAGAAAAACCTTGGTGAGACACATATGGGTACACAAAATTCTTACCAAGCGACACGGCCCCCAAGTGAAACTGTGCGGAGATTATATACAGTAGCTCTTCTATTTTTATTGAAGATCATAGAGCGACCACAGGCCTTCAATACGATTCGACATGGACTAGCCTGGACCGATATGGTGATCCTCTTCGTTCCGGGTTGGTGACAATGTCTGATCATGTCCAGGAAACTTTGATCTGCATGGCTGGCATTAACTAACTTTGTTTTTTTATATGCATCAAAGTCTGATCACCCTGTCAAGGACAAGAAGGACATTCATACGTGGATCAGTCCTTTGTTCTTTGTTGGAGCACCTGGAAAGCAAACAATATATTCAATATATATATATATATGTTTTCATTGGCATTGTCACTGCTCTGGATCATCTGACAGATATATACATAGTTTCGAATTCCATGTGTGTTGAGACGTGTGCACCGGCTCCCACAGATTCAAAAACAGTCCACACCAAAGGCACCCGTCCAGGCCAAATATTCACGAGGCCGGCTGCTTCGCCCACCTTGTTGCTGGTGATATGCGGGCATAGCAGGACCTATGACCCTGCGGGGTTCAATGATTGAATACATTGACATTATAATACATGAATGATGCCTCTTTTGGCAGGTTCAATGCAAACTATTCGTTAACCACAAAAACAAAGACCACACAACCCACCAGGCAATCTCGTGCGCCCTATAAACGATGTGCTGTCTCGCTGCATCGAGACGACGTGCTGAAGGATCACAGTTGAAAACCAAAACAGCGGTAACCCAATCCCAAGAAGTCAAAGTTCAACTCCAACATTGTCAATTTTAGATTCGTTTTTAAGAAGAACCAAGATCCTACGGATCCTAAGTCCTTTCCTTCCCGTTTTTCGGAGCAGCCGAGAGGCCAAGAAGGCCCACGGATGTTGCACAGTGGCTATAGTCGCTGCGGGTGCGTCGAAGCTGTTCAGCTCGGTGAAGTATCTGAAAAATCAAAGGTCTTTTCACATTTCAAGAGTGGTTTTGGCCTTAATATCAACATGGTAGGTAGTAGGTAGTATATAACACTGACTGATTAGATTGGCAAGTGAAGAGGAGCTGGGTGTGCTGCGTTTCTTGCATAACATCCTCAATGTAGAGTTTCTAAGAAGGACAACAAGGTATTTCGCAGGGCAAACGCGTCCATTCGCTCCCTTGCTCAGCAAACAATCGAATGCAAGGACTGCTCTGTGAGAAGCTTTCTTCACACCCAGTTTGTGTATGTATTCAGCATGCAACTTCTTGAGATACGGTGTGTGGAAAGCGCTGCTCTATTTTAGGACAAAACGGTAACCGCAGTGGGATTACAAAACAAAAACTCCGTTCCTGAATTGCCATAGATGCGTCTTCGTAACCAAAGCAATCGCAGTCCGACTTAGTCCATCCCCGGGCACAAGGTCAATCCCCGTAGACCTGGAGTTGGACCTGGAGTCCATGCGTGTCCCAATCCCCCACGCGCGGTGCACCCTGGCCTTTGTTGACCCTGGAGGTGCGTGGACAACACCACTGGCTCGCCGATGCTCGAATCAGATAAACCAAAAAGGCGGTAACCCTCCTGGTTGGGCAGAACCGGGCAGAAGAAACAAAAGCGGAATGCTGCTCGTGTCAACTGCCTTATTGGCTACACGGGCTTTTCAGCCTTTGAGGATGACAGGAGAGCTTGCCAATGGACTCGTCACTCAGGAAGTGACTTACGACAGTTTGTGGACCGCAAATGACTGTAACCTCTGGACTTGCCTCAGCTTGAAATCTAGATTTAGTCTACGTGCAATTGGCCCACGGTCAGCCCACGGATCCTTCATTGTTTCCCAAGCTTTTACTTTTTGCAGTGTGCCTTTTGCGCCTTGCACCTGGCCGCGGCAAAGTGACGTCTCGGGGTCTAAAACTAGTTGCGCTGGTGTCATCTTGGTTTTGCATCATTTTGCATCTAACAATATAGCACTTTTGGAGACAAAGCACCAACAATTGTGTGATGATTGAAGTTCAGCTAGATCTATCAGATCCATCAAACATCTGCCAAAGAAGGCTAGCACTTTGGAATACTGTTTCTTGACTAAAGTCTGGTTCGGTAGGTTCATTATTGCCTGTATTGCAACAAATGCCCCATGTTCTATCACCACGGACCACATTTCTGCGCAGCGTTTGGACACATGTTGTGATGAAGGTGGTATAGGCACCCGTGGAAGCAAGGCCAACGCAAGTAAGGTGGCTTTGTTTTGCAGCTTCTGCAAACCAATAATTTACAGTGCTACAGCTATATAAACACAGTATTCCGCCACCTACACATCCGCACAATAGGTGCCTGCAGCATCGCTGACATTGAAAATGCTGTAAAAAGTACGCAGCCTTCTGACAAAATTTCACAAAAGTGTGGCATTCTGCGTACGCACAGATCTTGACTGTACACGCACATTGGTCGAACAAATGTCAGGCAGTAAACGGAACTAGACACCCAGGGAAGATCTACTGTGACTGTTGATCTAAATCGGCCTGAGTGAGCAGGACTGCTTCCTGTTTCAGGAGATGTGATCTTCTTACACAGCATCGGATCACCAGTCACACTTCCGATCGGGTTTATTATCATGACATTTCCGACAAGTGAACAACAACTCACCGTCTGACGGATTCCAGGCCTAAACCCTGACGTCTGACCGTCTGACCGTCAACATTGGCGAGCAACAACTAATGAACACGCTGCTCCTCAGCTTGCTGGAAGACTCTTTGGAAGACAATTGCATCCAGTTCCTGCATGCAATATTCCTGCTCAACCTATATAGGTTTGGATCTCGTTGGTCCAAGCGGTAGCCAGCAGGTCCCTTGCAGTCCTAGTGCAAGCTGTCATCACTGGGTTGTAATTTACATAGCATCGTCTCAAGCACTTGTTGATAAGAGTTGAATATGTGGACCAGGCTTCCCGTGGGTGTTGATGTGGCGGAAATCTTAACATTGTTAGGAGACCATCATGACAAAAAGAAGAACTTCAACAGCTTTCTGGAGCTGTGGGTTTAAGGCTTGCGCGCGCTGTGCTAGGTAAATATGTTGCTTTCTTTTATCTGGCGGATTCCATATTTGCACGGAAATTAGTGGCGCACGTGTACATCCTCCAGTTTCTTCAACCAAGCTTCTTGATGCCCATAAGGATTTCCACGATCTCTGTATGTGAATCGCTGCATGTCTCCTGGGCCACTTCCAAAGGTGTACGTCCATGCGACGTCTCCTTGCACAGGTTGCTCTAGATTGCCAAAGATAAATCTGCAGGATAAAGGTATTCGGCCTGATGTGTTATATAGCTGTCAGCTAGCAAACTCCTTCCTTGAGTCACTGCGATGATTTACTGGATAGCCCGACTCCGTCGCTGAAAACTGTCAGACAAAAAACAGGAACATACAGGAACTGCAAAAAAACCTTTAAACGTACCACATTCTATCTACTCCAGTATGATCGTACACTCAAACCGCCGTCCTGAGCTTTGTTGGCGCCTGCACGCAAAAGGAACAGAACCATCTGGACATCTCCGCTCTCTGCCGCTACGTGCAAAGGATACCTGGGATTTGCAAATACCTGGCCTGTACCCCTATCTCAGATTGATATTCATGACCACAACAAATGCCGTCCAACCTATTTCTTTTTGTTCATGCTATTCGTGGTCTGTGACGCAACAGCCAATCTAGTTCGCACAGTAAGAAAACAATAGAAAACATATAATCTGAAGCAAATCCAGAATACATCACCTCTTTCCCTCCAAAGAGGCAAAACCGGTTCAGAATTTGTCTGTCTCTCTGCGGCGCATTCACGTGCTTGAAGTTGTACTTCAGTAGAAACTTGCGCACCTGTGCCTGCCTTGGATCTGCCGATTTGGAAGAAAACCAACATCTCAAAACAAAGGGTGCTCAAAAGTGAATACTCCTTTGTGGTGACATTTTGCACCGCTCGCGGACGACTGCAAATGTCACTTTCACCCCTGCCCACACAAATCTACTGACATAAACACACAAAAAACAGAACGACTTATGACACCAGGGTTGCTCGATGAACTTTCTGCTTCGTCGTTCGATGCACCCGCGCGTCAGCACGGGGTGCTCCGGCTTCCTTGTGACCCGATCTATCGGGAATCGTAAGTGTGAGTCTTCGGGCACATTCAGGCTGAGCCTCCCTGGCCGCTCCGGTGTGTGTGGCACTGGGCTGAAAGAGAAAATAGGGCTAGCCATCGCGCTGTCAAACAGCCATGCCGACTTTCTTGAGCCAGGCACTGCTGAAATGCTGTGAAGCCTGGGAGCTGGTGCTAGGTCCCCATCTGTGCAAGCCTACAGCATGATACAAAGGACATTCACGCCAACCCAGCCTCTTTGATCTCATCGTCTGTGAGCACCATGCTCAATAGCCCTGCATCTCCTGCCCGGCAGCTCTGGGGCGAAGGTTTGGTAGCTGGACCATCTGGGCCTATTCCAGACGGTCCACTGCAACCAGTTGTAACATCAATTGGTCATCAGGTTAGCACAGCTGCTCCGACATGACTTTCTTTGCTGACTTGATACTAACCACGAAATGTTCACCCGGCCCCTCACAGTGCATTGGCTTGAGTAGATCCTGGAGTCTTGGATCTTCTGACTCCCAAGTATATTTTAGTGGATCTGGAATAATAGGGAGGGCCTCCGCTGAATTATTCATGGGGTTGACTGGCCTGAAACCAAAACTTCCAACTCCCTGTCTCCCTGTGGTTTACATGCACTCTTTCCCCCCAGCACCACCCAACACATCACTCCCAAAGGCCTGCCAGATTCAGTGCAAAGCGCCGCTGTGCACAGCTTAGCACCGTGGCCAAGTTGCTATCGCTTTCGACATCGCTGACCGCGCAGCCCAGCGCTGTCAGCGATGCTGCTGACACGGCTGAAGTGCCGAAGTGTTCACGGCGAAGGTGACGAGCATCGGGGCCGTCGGCAAGGACCAGGGCATGGCAGGGATCCTCAAAGGGTGGAGCTAGGCATTTCCATAACCGATCGTATCTCGTTTCTTGCATTTGACCTGTCTTTCAGGCTGTGTGCTGACAGTCTGACAACCCTGCGACTGCTCTGCCAAAAGAGCGACATGATTAAGGAATCGTTGATGATGATCGTTGTCTGTCCAGAGAGTCCATTGTGATAGATCTTGATAAGAACTTCCTTGCCGTTTCCTCAGAACATCCCTTTGACAGCACGTGATTGAAGTTGCATCTGAGAGCTCTCGACTGAAAAAAGGCAAGAAACAACGCCGCCATCCAACAAGTTACAACAACACATTGCTCTATGGATTGAGGTGCTTGAAGAACTCTCTCTCTCTCTCTCTCTATGTGTGTGTGTGTGCGCGCGCGTGTGCGTGCACACATAAAATCCTGCGTTTCGAGTTGTGTTGCGTTGTCATGTTCAATAAATTTAGCACGGCATGGACGCATCCTCATCACGCTCGTCTTTGTTGTCTTTTCATAGGACACAGTGGAATTTCGAAATCAGGACTACCCTATTGGTCCTATTTCATCTATTTCTTTTGAGGGTTCGTCGCGTCACACTCATGGCTTATCGTCACACTAATCTTGAGGTCCATCTCAAGGGTGGTTTGGGCTGGGGGTGCAAAATGCTTGCACTCGTGTCGTGTTGCTCACACTAAGATGTCTTTAAACCGTCTGTCTTTTGACAACTTTAAAGAATTATATGAATTTTATAAATTGTACTTTTTTAGCAGTCAGGAAGATGCGTGGTGTCATGACTAATACTTTAAGTCACTTTGTTGGTCAACCCTTTAAGCGTCAGTGTAGTGGGGACACTGTTGATAGGCGGCCATGGCATTTCGCGCTTTCGGACACAATTTCGTATTTGCAGCACTTTTGAAGTTTCCTTGAGGACAACTGAGAAGTTTTGCAATGCTACGCTGGCCACGGGTGGGGTGGTGTTGGCTGTTGACGTGCGTGAAAAGACGAACTTGACTTGATGCTACGTAGTTAACGCCGCAAACAGTCTATCATCTATCTTATTGGTCGGTGGTGTGGCCTTTTTTGGCCACTTGCGCCTGACCAAAGAATATAAACTGAAGCACTCGTTTGCGTCCATTCTCCAGGGGACTCAAATCACAAAGCAAAGGTGGCAGGTTACGGTGAGATCCAAGTGGTGTTATGTATACAAGTGGTGGCCGCGGGCTTCATCTAAATCCAAAAGTGTCAATGCAAGTAGACAGCCACTCTACAAACAGTGGGCAGAAGAAGGCGACTGAAAGAACGGCAATGCTTCAAATAACTTACTGTCTTTGTCTCAAGTGAACCCAGACCGAGACTAAATACATTGTGCCGCTACTTGCCCCAGCAAACCACCACAATGACACAATTGGTTGCGTGAGTGCCAAGGGCCTCCAGCTCTGGCGGTCCCTGGTGCATCTCCACCTGGGCCATTCGTTCCAATTCCTCCTTGAGCTGATAGGCGAAGAGGCCTTTGCGAGCTGAAGCACCATGCGGCGCTACAGCCATGCTGCGAGGCGGGAGATGGCCGGAGGCGTCTCAAAATATCTTCACTAGGCTTGGCTCGTAGACATTCGCAGGTAGCAACTTGCTTGCCTTAACTCTTCCGGTTCTGAAAGTCGATACTTGGAGTCACGGTGAAGGGAATTGTTTATTATGAACTCACGAGACTTCTAGAAAGGCTCCGCACTAAAGATTCAAAAGAACCAGCCCCATTGCCACTAGTCAGGCCAAGTGTGGTCTTACTCGCACGAGCTCTTTCGGATGCGGCAGATGCGTCTTCAGGACATTTGAGGACTACACTAGCCGCCTCATCCCGCTAAGCTGCTACGCGGACGCCCCAAGCTCCGTGGGCTCTCGCGCTGGCAGGGCCACTGGGATGAGCTGATGGTCTTCAAGCGCTCTTGCAGCTCCTCGAAACCGACAAGTGACAGGATGTGACATACAAGTATACTTTCACGAGACTGGGCCAAGACATGTTGCAAATACTATCACAGCCTAGCCAATTCATAGCACTGTGCACAGTGCAATTTCGAGAACATCGGAAGCCAAAACATTATCTGAGGACTCACAACCCTTTCCATACGCCTCCGAGCCATTCTTGCAACAAACTTAGGACCTTCTCCTCTGGTTGCTCCAGGGTTTCTGCCGCCCACTCTGCACTCCAAACATCACCCAAAAAATGCGGGAGCCGGTGTTCAGTTCAGTTTAAGGCAACAGCTTTGTTTTCTCTAGAAGCTTTATATGAACCACCTGGCCGTATGCCTTCAATTTCTTCAGTCATCGGGCATGTCGATGGAACTTCTACTTGGTCCACCGCCTGTGAACTTGCGCCCACCTCGGGGAACTTGGACCAGGTACTACTCTGCAGATTCACCACGCGCAGGTCCTGACAGCTCCAATTTCCTTTACACAATCTTGATGACTTTATGGGTTAAACACACGTGACAGTTAGCATGTCTTGTAGCACAACCCACAAGCACACATACATGCTGTGCAACTTGGAACCGTTGGCGATCGAGGAATCTCTGTCTTATCTGCGCATTTCTAGTATTTCAGCATGGAGCTCGTTCTTGTCAATGTCGTGGACCCTACTGAAGAGATACATATATATAATATAATACATATTATTACTGTATATATATATATAATATCAACACAAATCAAGACCACACTGTGTTTCGTGCTTGGACCACCCCACAACTCGTTCTGAGAAAGCTGCTGCCCCACGACACATGGGGGACTAGAAATGGCCCCTTCAAGGTCTTCAGAGCAAGTTTGTGCCAACTTGTGCGGATCCAAACCTCACATGTTACAATTTGCCACGCTGAAATACAACACCAATTTGAAACGTTCCTGTGCTCATTCTTGTTGAGAAAGTGGAAGGAGATGATACCGAGGAGATGATACCGAGGGCTTCATGGATGAAATCTGGTATGCAAGCGAGGGATGCCTCCCACCCTTCCCAGCAAACTCTGGAAGTCGTCCTTGCCTTCTTGGCATTTCCTCGGTCGTAGACCCTGCAGCGGATGAGGGGGTTTCGTCGACTTGCCAAGATCAAAATCTAAGTTGAACGAGAAGCAAGCGAATGTGATAAAGGAACCTTTGCCCGTACCAATGTGATACAAGGTTGGTAACTACTGAAAGAAACCGAGGCTGTCTAGGTTGGATCTGTCGCACAGTGCGCAGCACGCAACCAACAATGTTTGGGCCTAACCCACAGGTTTCCGTTGAACCATTGTGTCAGGCCGAACCCAGCAGCCTTTGACAAGACCTGCTTGTATTGTTTTTTGCTGAAGAGTGGCAAACAGGGGTAATGATCTTCAGCGTCATCAAGCCTGGTTGCCCGATAAAGCCTTTTGAAAAGAAGCCCAGCAACACTTCCCCAAACGCGTAATGATATACTGCAAGTTTAGCAAAAGCAAAGGTGTTCTATTACTCAAGTCATGCAATGCAACATTTCGCTTCAGGTTGTTTTACCAGGTCATGTCAGGTCCTACACGAATGTTCATGATATGCACGGAATTCCGATGCACAAATTCGGAACCTCCGAAAGTCGGGAGCATTCCTGATGAGGAGGCATCGCTACTAGGAACGCTCCTGGCATTACTATTAGTAGCAAGGACGCTTTTAGTAGCTCTTTGGCTTTATCCATTGACCTGAAGGTCGTTGCGGTGCAGAACGGATGCTCCATGGCGCTCCCATGTCCTTGCCTGATCCGCTTCTTCCCCTGCATCTTGGAGCATATGGCTGCGCAGCAAAGCCCGCTCAAACCACCACCCACCTGGGAGGAGCACAAGTCTTTCACAAGAGAATATTACAAAACAGTTATATAAATGTTTTATAATATCTCTCTAGAAACGGCATCTTCAAGTTGTCTCTGTAACCAAGGCGCCACGATCACCTCCAACCTCGCTGACGGCGCAGGCGCCGGCGCCACAGCTGCCTGGTCAGGCCGCTGCACGGGCTGCCGCGCGCAGCTTGTCGTGGGCCTGACGGGGGCTGAAGTCGGAACCATTGGAGACATGTTTTGAACCTTTCATCTTTCGTTCTTCCGTTTTCCGTTTCTTCTCTCTTTGGAGCTTTCTTGTTCCCATCAATTCACTCTTCCTTACTCTCTTCTTTTAACATCTGTTAACCTGTTTATTTGCTTGAGTCCTCTAGGCAAACAACACATAACTTGTTGCCATCCTGCGAGGCTTGTGGCTTTGTGAGCCAAGGCACAATTCTGCCCTTGCGCGCGGTCAAACACGCCATCTACTGATACTTTTTCAAGAGTTGGTTGGTCAAGTTTTGTGTCCGTGCATGCTCGTTGGGAATTTCAAAGACATAGGTTGTACCGATCGCAAGGGGGCTGACCAACTCAAAAGCCCCAAGAACGAGTCGAAGGGCTAACCTGTGTCCACATGGCTTTGTCTTGCTACTCCCGGTCTTCCCACCATTAAACAACTGAATACTTGAGAATCACAGCTGCTTTGCTTCCATGCGCTCCCTAAAACTGGCACAGCCTCACATCGCGAGGTGCCATGGACCAGGCTCCAATCCAAGATGGCGCCCATGGCTGCAGAAAGGGCATCTCTAAAGAAAAGGTGTAAAATCGCGAAAAAAGTGGGAACGTGGAATTGGTAGAACACATGTCTCACTTGCTGTTGAGACTCAGAACAAGAAAAAACTGAAGAAGTGGCCCGAGAGCAGGATGTTCACGCCACACTCTCCACATACAGGCTTTTGTTCACATCTGTACTTGCATCTGCGAAAAACTCCAGAAAAAGGATGCATGCCCTGTGTTGGTTTTCAAGAGAGCAGCCGGACTTCAAAGCCACGGCGAAGCCTCTTGACGAATGAAGAAGTCCGCTGCGGCGGATTGGCTCGCTTCCAACTGTTCTAAACTGTTTTTCTACTGCTCAGATGCTTGATTCGCAGGTTTGATTGGGGCGCACCTCATGGAGAATATTGTGTTAGCGGGCAGTGCATCATAGTCTTCTCACCATTCTTGCCGAGCTCCAAGTAGAATGGCCCAAACGTCTAGGTTCAGCATGGATAGGCTTTGGCATACTTTCACGGGGCCATACTGTTGGGCCAAAGCCATGTGGCTTGAGCAAACTCGGAAACGACAAACGACTGAACCAAACACATATCCAGAAAAGGATAAAACGATCTGAAAGAAGTATATAATTCCTTCTCATTTCGCCTTTGGAGGCACATCTTCCAGAATCTAGTCGCATCCTTGCTCCTAGTAGTATGGCCAGGAGCCCCTAGTAGCGTCCTTGCTCCTAGTAGTATGGTCAGAATCTCATTTTTTACGGAGACCCTGCATAGTCTTGGATGTGGAAAGCTGTGCACCAATCGGTGTTCTTGGTGGACACTCGCTTTCCGCAACCAACAGCAGGCTCTGAACATTCCAAATTGGAGGCTGTCTATGACCTCCTTCAGCGGATCCAATCTGAGTATCATCACGACTGAAGTTGGTCTGAACATCTGCCACGGGGGCACGCCAATGTGTTTGTGATGCCGTCCAACAGAGGTTTACTGAATCAACAACACACAAGGAATTAAAGGCATGAAGTGATGCCGTCCGTGGCACCAAGTGAGCAGAATGGCATTCGACACACACTTCGCAGCAAAAAACCTCATGAACTTCAGCACCGAAATAGATGCGGGCACTTTGGGGACCCAGCATTCCCATGGCGGCTTGGTCTTCTGTATCCGGAGTCAGCCAAGAGGGGTGAAGGGCCTTTAGGCTTTAGGGAGCTTTAGGCGTGCTGTTGCGCCGCTGGTCAAAAGCGAGATGCTGTGTGCGAACATACTCTTCCAGTGATGGCCTGATTGTCGATGGAGTCTCAGTTTATCGCCGTCAAAGAGTTGGCCAAACACTCGAAGAAAAGCCAGACTAGACTAGACTTTCAGTCAAGCCACTCTTTCGGACTTTGGGCGTAGAGAAAGAACATCAAGAATCAAGTGAGTGGACCAATGCAAAAAAAAGGCGCATTTTGTACGTAAACGCAGTGTCTGTCCGCCGTCACTGACGGACACCCCTTGGGAGCCGCGCGTGTTGATGCGGTAGCCAATGCCCACAAGGGCTAAAAGGGAGCCCCTCGACAGAGATCTGGTGCCCCCAACATTGTCGCTTGGATGTTTCCGGGGATTGGTGGAAGGTACAGTAGATCAGTAGATATTCATTGACAGGGGCTACCAGGTACCATTTGTTGAAACCGCAGATTTTGAGTGCCGTCTTCCATGAGTTAATATAAGTTCCTTCGTTTTGCTTTGGCCCTTTGGAAGGAGGCAGTTCTCATATCATTGGTCCTGTTCAAAATTAAGATGAGAACTGTCCCACAGTGCTCCGTCAATTTTTGGGATTTGACTCTGACCCAAATAAATTTCACAGCTCTGGCTGGAAGAGAGTCTTCTGAAACGCGGGGTTGGGAGTATGACAATGAGGACCATCCGCACATGGGGAACATCCGAGACTTTGATTGGCAGTGGTTTTGGCAGGAAGCACGATCTGTAGTTCCAATAATTTCTATTCATGCAGATATTCGGTTGTATTTTTTGACGGCGATGTTGCCTTCTCACCTTACCCTCCGCCTTCACTCATCAGTCTTCTTTTGCCGAGGCCAAGTGGCGACAAAATAATGGAGTTTACCTCAGATGTGCAAGTCTGAGGCAAAGAAAAGGCACGATAAGAAAAAGGGATGGCAGGAGGTTGATCATACCAAGATGGGGTTCATCCAAAGCAATTGGGCTTCAAAAGCCCTAAAGAGCTAGCTTCTTGACAACATCATGAAGAAACACACTCAAAGGCGCCAGAAAACAAATTACAGAACAAACATCCCGTTGAACTTGTAGTGTGCATGTTCACTCTCGATGCGGGGCTTCCACCAAAAAAATACCAAACCTTGTCTTGAGCGAAGCCATGATTCAGACGCGATGACGTCATTTTGGTCTGCTTCCAAGGCCTGCAAGAGCTACGGTCAGATGATGCCGAAGAGAAAGTTCATGTTTCTTCCAGATCCGTTGAAGTGTGAAGGTGCGAGGGCTTACTTGCAATTCCGCTGGAGTTGGGTGAATTCCTGATTGCAACCCCCGGCACCTTGAATCTTCACCGACACTGCTTTTGGATAACTCAAAACGCATGATTTGTCTGAGAAGTGCACACGATAGATGAAACCTGATGGTCCACTTTCAACAAGCAAAGGCAGCAAAGGACTTAAGAACACACCGCAAGTTGGGAGGTGGGGCCCCTGATTGGCAGTTCAACACAGCTCACTTTAGAACGTGCTGATTTGTGCGGTTCTCGCTCCCCAAGACAAGAAGAACAAACCTTTGCATACCTTTACTGATTTCTGCTAGTTTTTGCACTGGCTCCTGTCGATGCCTCAAGCCAAACCCAACTTCTGTCCGCCTGATCCAACGGCATCAAGAGTGACCTGCAGGGAGGGTTCCAGCCGCCAAGGAACCTATTCGAGGACCGCAAAAGAGCTATCTTCTCGTGTGACTTGGTGAAGGGTTTCGGGTCAACTTCAGCTTCAAGAGTTCAGCCATGAACCTGCCGTGAATCTGCCATGGAATCGGCCGTCTTCCTTCTTTACCTTGATACTCACGCCGGCCAGATGGTCCCGGGTTCGATCCCCCCTCCTCCACAACCCTCCTTGTGTAGTAATTAGTTTCCAAGGTATTTTTTTGTGTTTCTTAGTGTTTCTGTTGTTTACTGCGGGTTTTCTCTAGTGTTTAATGTGGGCTTTCCAATGTTTTCCCATGTCTTTTCTCGTGTTTATGTAGGGTTTGCTGCTGGTTTCTGCCCAGGTTTGATAAAGTTGGGTCCTCGGTTTTTTAGGGGGGTGTACACCCTGGCGCATCTTCTTTCAGATGGGCAGTGTCCCTTTGCCTGTGAACAATTCCATGCTTTGCACTGCTTTTGGCTATGAATGTTTTGCGGAAGCGCGAAACATGCACAAAATTTGCGCGTCCAGCGCTCCCCTGCTCTTGGCATCGTGGGCCTCGGGGCAGCTTATGCATGAATGGGCAAAGCCCCATGAATTGTGTTCTAGGGCCGCTTTGGGTGTCCGGGATCTATTAGGCGAAGATTGCATAAGTGGGGCTGGGGCATTGCTGCAGAGTTACCATTCCGGTAGGCAACCCCGTGAAGGTTCTCCAATTCTGAATGCATCCTATGGCGTCAAGTCGAGAACGGTCTGCAATGTGAGTGAGGATACACAGATGTTATGAACCTCCTGCCCCAAAGGTGACATGCTATTGCGGCAAATTCTCCCAGACGTTTTTATATGGGGCACAGCCCTCTCCCTGCGAGATTTCTTGTGTACATCTACTGCATTCATCCCCATGGGTTTGCCCCTTCAACCTTACTTACGGCTCCAACGTTACTTAGGCACCTGTCAATTATTCTCAGACCTCTTGAATGCTGACACAACTTACATGCTACTTAGACACTTGACATGCCCTTTCTGATCTCAAAACAAACACCAACAGCAAAAACACCTGCAGCAGTTGCTCAGTCAACGCCTACAAAGGCTGCACATCAGGTACCTCAGAAAAGGCACCGCTGCTTTCCTCCTGGAGCCATTCTGGGTTGAGTCCCATATTTTTAGTACCTTGTTGCATTCCTAGTGTTTCATCATCACATTTGTTTTGACTTTCACGCTTCTAGTGTTATGTTCTTTTCAACTACACAAAACGTCTTGCTGTTACTTTCCCGGTTTACGATTCAAAGGTCAGCTGCACACCGCCGCCTTACGGAATGGGCAGGGCCCTATGCATTGTCTTGTGGGCCCGCGTTGGGCGTCCCTGAACCGGCGGTTCCCAACTTCCCATCGCCACCCTTGTCGCCATTCTTGGCTCACAATACATATGGCTGCAGGATACAGTTCCAACCGCCGCTCTTCTTACCATATATAAATATGATTAAATATGTTTACTAAACATAAATCCTCCAAACTCGGAGGCTCGAAACTTTCCAACGCCTGGCGGATTCTCCGCGGGTGTCGAAAGGGGAGCCGATGGATCAAGTCTTTCAGTGATGTGTCTGATCTCTGCGGGTTGAATCTGGTGCATGGTTGTGCTTGAACAATTAGCAAGGTTCATCAACCTTGTATTAGTTCCTTTTTCTCATGCTATCAATGGAAAAGTGATGGGAAAAGTAGACTCTCGGCTTCGGGAAGGGCTGACTGCTGACTTGTTCCACTGATGTGGAGTTTGTGAAGATGCCCCAGATTTTTTCCAGCCTAATCAGTCTTAATCCTTGCTGTCTGGCTCGAAAAAGCTGTGGCATGCAGGCAGCACGAAGGCGGAGTCAAAACAGTCGAGCAATCGCGTGATCGACTTGAGTGAACACTTCATGAAATTACCGAATATGGGAGGTCATCTATGGGTAGCTTCCATTGTTGAAGCAGCTACAGGGCTTGTACAGGCTGTAGGCTGTATGTTGATACTTGGATGATCGTTGAACCGTCTACTACAGTAGGGCTAAGCCCTTCACTATCATTGACATGCTTGGCTGCACATATTATA